TAGTGGACAGAAATATTTGGAGTGGCACAAATAATTTGTGTGGCATCTTATTCAATGCAGAACAGCTGATTGTTCTGTAAATAGTTTGAAATGGTTATAAAAAATCAAGGTAAAAGGTAAATGGCTGCAAATAACTTTGTTGTTTGCAAAACTTGTGCATAGGATTTTAAAATTGACAATTTATATTTGCATTTAAATTTATGAAATACGATTCATTAAACATTTTTGTGGTTGTTACAGTAAAAAATATATCTTTTTCTATTCGGATTTTATGTTATTTGTCTGATTGTAGATCAATTGTGTTAATTTAGTATGTCAAAATGAAAACATAACTTTAAATTCAGAAACGTTAGGTTGTGCTGAAAAGGATGATACCAAACAAGGCAAAGTAAATAGTTTTTCAAACGGCCACTCAGTTACTAACTCAGTTACTTTTTTGTAGAAGTAACTAGTAACTATAATTAATTACTTTTTCAAAGTAACTTGTCCAACACTGGAAGACATTCACTGAATTTAATCTGTTCCTAAGTCCTTTAATTCAAAGTTTAATCATCATAAGAAATCACGTCCTAAATTAAACTAACTTTGATCATTTTAATCATTTATAGAGCATTTACTGAAAAACTTGGAAATTCAACATTTCAACCCTGGAGTGTTTTTAACGATATTACAGTACTTTTCTTTCTTCTGTTACCCATCCTAATCTCTTTTTTCCTTTTCATTAGTATGTTGTAGATCAAGGTCACAGAACTTGCCTATATGGTTTGGGACCCATAGGAAAAAAACATAAATTGAAAGTTAGATTAACTTTAGAAACATGAATAGTGTATTTGCTAAAAGTTTGTTGGGTATCAGTTTGTTGGTGCAAATATATTATTCAATGCCCTTAAACCTGTGTTGCCATTTTTCATAGGATGAACTGAAGAAATGGAAAAAAAAACTGTGTTTTTGCAACAAACTGATAGTAACAATGATACAAACTAGTTTAAAATAAAATTATTAGAAGAATCCTTAGAAGCTAAATATAAAGAAATGAGGGGTGACTTAAGACTTTCATGATACTAACATTACTGCATGCTTAAAATGATACTCTGTCAAAGTAGAAAGATGCCCTTGATTTGTATCATTCCTGATACTACCACTAGATGCCAAAACAAAAATCTCCACATAGTCATCTTTTCCTGCTACAAATGCTCACTTTACAACTCATGACTGTAATCTTTATTCCTCTGTTAGTGCCATCTGTACTCATCCAATGTTCATTGTTTAATTGATTTGTCCCCATCTTATCTGTGTAATTTTCCTCTAATCTACATCAGCTCTTTTATCTACATCTTTATACTTTGTGTGTCTTTTTGTTTTGAATTTTAACTCACAATGGAGATGCTGCAAAATAATGTGAAAGTGCATTTTCTCCACAGGTCACTGCTTCCCCATCACCTAAAGACCAGGAGATTTTAACATACATCACTCTGATTGGCTGTAGTCTGTCTCTTTTTACCCTGGTCATCACTGTTTTTCTCTTCATCACAAATAGGTAATTATCTGTTTTCTGATTGATGACATCCTTCAAAACTTAATCCTCCCTATTTCTAATAGCATCCTCCTCTCCTGCTCCCATCAACTCTTCAGCATTTGGTCTCATCAGTCTCGTCTCACTTTTTGTCAATTAATTATCCTTTTTGTCTTTATTGCATTATTTTAATCTTTTCCTCTAATCATATCGTTTCTCATCTGTATTGTCTTTATTCTCTTTCCTTCTTTCTTCCTTACTGGATTTTCCAATTTTTTCCAAACAAAATATGACCAAATAATCTGCTTGAAAGTTGTCACTTACCATGAATCACAACTCCTGTATTTGCCAGAAAAGGCAGAGAAGATGTTTCTATGAGGGTTCACATCAACCTTGTGATTGCACTTATCCTCCTCAACCTGCACTTCCTGCCCAATCAAGCAGTGGCAGCACTGTCCTCCTCTGGGCTCTGTTTATACATGGCTCTTGCCCTTCACTACTCTCTATTGGCCACTTTCTTCTGGATGGCTTTGGAGGGATTCCACCTCTACCTTCTCTTAGTCAAAGTCTTCAACATCTACATCAAGAGATATCTGCTCAAACTCAGCGTGGTGGGATGGGGTGAGTGGAATAATTTAGGCATGAAGCTGTTTATCATCATCATCATCTGAATAATTCAATTAAATTTTATTTATATAGCGCTAAATCACAACAACAGTCACCTCAAGGTTCTTTATATTGTGTAACTGTTCAGTTCTTGTGTTTCAGGTGTTCCTGCAGTCATTGTGTCAGTGGTGGTGATCATTGACAGAGGCTTTTATGGCCATGCCCCTCTGGACAACTCCAACAAAACTGCAATGTAATTCATATTTATTCATAAAATAACTATGCATCATACTTTCTGTATCTTGGCATGTTCACACTGTAGTCCTTTGTCATAAATGTAACATAAACGTTAGGCAGCAAACTCAGTTTCACCAAGCATCTAATTTGACAAAATTAAAATACTGAGAAGTTTCTGGTATATTTAACCACATGTATCTAAATCATCTGCAATAACATCTCTATGAAGTACAAGATGTACTTTTTAATTTCACAGAGTAAGAGACTAAAACATGGATCACCTACACTCCCTTTTTTTAGATGCTATATAACCAATAACAATGTAAAGATGGGAACTACAGTGGGACTGTTCAGCTTGGTGTTCCTCTTTAACATGTTTATGTTTGGAGCGACAATCAGACGTGTCTGGATTCTTCGCAAAAGCACAGAGGTACGGGCAGTTTTATGTTGCTATTGAAATTGACGTTTTCTATGTCAATATGTTCTGTGAAATCTCAAAAATGAAGACTATCCCTCGTCACCACTATTAATTTTTATTTAATGTGCATAGCTTCCTTTTAAAGGTTAGACTGTAGGATGGGCTGTCTGTTAGTGTTTAAGTCAAAGTAAATTCTATGAAAATATTGATCTGATCACTTAAGTAGGAAAGGAAGTTATTAAATGTTCTTAATCAGTTTCAACTGCTTTGATACAGACGTCGACAAAATTGTTGGTAGAACCAAGCTGAACTTCATGCTCAAAGAACATCAGTGTCAGA